GAGGGATAACAGCTCTGAGTACTTCAGGACTGGTGGTTTATAGTGAACTATGGATTGCTTGTAAACAGCCTTAATTTCTGTTGCAGGGTGCCTTGGAAACAGCTCCCTAATCATGATTGTAAGGTGGAAGAGATGTGAGCTCAAGGATAAAAGAAAAGCCTGCTAATGGATTGAAGGCATTTTTATACCTTCGAAAACACCAACTTTCCCTGCAGGGAATCTGCTCCACAGAAACCAACAGCAAGGACCAGTCACCAGAAAAATAATGGATGAGAAGCAGTGACAGATCTTAGCCATACATAAGACCACCGAGGAATAATAACCATTCCTTCAATGGCAGCAGCTCAACAATATGAGAGATGGAAAGGAACAAGCATTTCTGAAACCCCCTTGTTATCATCTGCCCACCTCCCACCCCAAACCTAGCCTGAGACATGCAGCAACCTCAAGCCCCTGAGCAAAACTAGGTCTTTCCATATCTCCTTGGGGAGCCAGAGACCTGCATGCCCTGCCTGGCTCTGAGAGAGGTCTGGAGAGCTGGGTCACAGCAGAGGGTGAGGAACACCCTGTACACCATGTGGTGGAGGGAATCTTACCACACAATGGCTGTGGCACATGGATCTGTCCTCATCAGTTAAACAGCACCCAGGAGCCCTTGGTGGTGCCAGTACCTGATGTTCAAGACAGGTAAATCCTGAGAGTAGTCCCTGGTCATCAGATTGACCTGCTCCTTGGCCTGGTTCAGGATTTAGTACCCAACTGGTGACCAATTTAGCTGTGGCCACCTTGTTTGGAGCCAAGAGATTTATCAGCAAGGACACAAGCCATCAAGGCACCTTTAATGAAATAGGTAGTGCTCTGGATTTGCAGGGCAGTAGATGTCCTTGCCCCTGTTGCACCTGCTCCCTCCCCTCTCCCCAAGTCTCACTGCTGATCAGACTTCTCTGTCCCTGTTGGCTCTTCCCCATGCAGTCCTCAGTGCCCTCACCACCCCATCAAACCCCATCTGCCCATCATGCTGCTATTCCTTCTTGCCTTCAAAATAATTTACCTTCCTTCTTCCCTGCCAGCTTTTCCATGTCTGTCCCACAGCTGCTTCTCCAATCCTTTGCTTTCTCCCACCTCTTTGCCTCCACCACCTTTCCCCTCCACATCATCTTAAATACCCAGGCCTATCAAGGACCTTCTTCCCATCCTCCCCAAGTTACTGTCTCATGTCCTGTCTCTCTTGGACTGTAAGCCTTTTGTCCTTGCCTGTACTATGTGATAAGGCTCACCACTTAGAATAAAGAATACCTCACCTACTTTTTCTCTCTCATTTCTTGGTGTGGCTTCAGTAGATGTGTCTGCAAATGCACTCTGTGTCTGTCCTCGTGGCTAGTTCAGCAGTCAGTCTTGCTGCCACAGCTCTATTCATAGTCTTTTGAGGTGACTCTACTCGTGTTTTTGTTCCTTTCTTTCTTTTTTGTAGCCACAGAGATAAGCTTTGTTGTCTGTTTAGGAACCTGGTAGATTCAGAGCTGCATGACCTTCTCTCCTCTTCAATTCTGGTGCATCTGATAAAGAGGTTGGCTTTTCTCCAGCTTCATGCAGAGATGTCCTAGACTGGCAGGTGGTTCAACATATGCAAAAACTGAGGAGAATGAAGGAGAAATCTTGTAGCCCAGAAGAGAAACAGCTGATGGTAAAAGAACTGCATTTCCCAGCGCAGTGCAGAAAAGAGTGAGCAGAAGAGTATCAGTGGAAACCCAAGCAGATGCATCTCTCGGGGAAAGAAGCAGAAGCTGGCTTAGCAGCAGGCCATGTTTCAGAGATGGTTGCCCAGGAGGCTTCTTGTGGTTCAGAAGGTGCCTTGAACATCTGCTTTCTTCATCCCAGGCTAAGACTAGACCTGCCCGTGGTCCCTTCAACCTGTGAGTACAGCAGGGACCCAATTGTGACTAAGCCCAGGTGGCTCCTTGCTGCCTCCTTGTCCTAATTTATTGACTGAAGGTGCTAGTTTGGTCTATGTTGGCTGGAGCTATTGGTGCACATGGAGATGGTGGTTCTTCCTAGAAGAACTCACAAACTCACAACAGCTCCCAGATAGTTAAACTCTTTTGAATGAAGATAATTTGGAGAAGAGGATAAACGTCATCAGCTCTTTTTGATAGGAGGCCAGCAAAGCATCAAGAACCTGAATCCACAGGGGAACAGGTCTGATTTGTGAGCAGGCCCTCCACATCTGTGAAGGAACAGGATAATGTTGCTAGAACCCATCACCATCAGAGGCAAGTTTAGACCCCAAGTCACAAGATTCCGGCTCCCTGTTGTTACATCAAGACCAGCAAAGAGGAGACTGTGCTACATGTGCTCATGCTGGTCATCCATTGGTTTTTTCCAGACATGTGCTGCCTCTGGGAAATGAATCCCTGATGAATTTCATACTCTTTCTGCATCTCTCGCTCAGACATAACCCGAGTAATGATCTGTCACCTCCAATTCATCTCTTCTGCATTTCTCACCTTGTCACATCATGTAATTAACCCAACATTTTGCCACCAGCAGCCCTTGTGAGGGCAAAGATCTCCAAATTCTTTCCTCGCTTGGCTTAGACAAAGGTCATTTATAAATGTTGCTGCTTGTGCATTAGGACTTGTGACATTTCAGGATCAGGCTTTCTTTACAACCCTGCAATTTGCACCTTCACAGCTCGCTCTTCCCAAAGCTGGTACCCAGGGCTAGACCTCACTGTGCATCTCTGCAGAGAGCAGCTGGGGCTGTTCTTCTCCTGGTGAGAGGTTGTGCAATGCTGTGCTGTCCCTGGATACCAGTTCCTGGGGAAAATAATATAATTACCTCCCCCTCACACTCCTTCCAGTTTAAAACAGGGTTGGAATGAGCTTCACTGGGAAGGACAACCACACAATTATCTGTATTCAATGCAAACAAAGAGGAAGCCAGGGGATGGGGATGGGACACAGCCTCTTTGTCCTCCAGGAGACTGGGTCTTAGCCAGCCTGCAACACATGGCTGAACCATACACACACTCATGAGAAAAGATCCAATGGATTAAGATTAAGAAGTAGCTACCATGCAAACATGCACCAGCTTTCTTGGCTCCTTCAACAGAGGTACCACACCAAGGCTGCTGAGAAGGGTGAATTCCCCTGGTGACTCTAGCAGAGGCAATGGAAAAATGTTGATGGAGGGTGATTTCAAACAGTTTATGTTGCTCCAGTGAGAGATGATCTTTGTCTTTCAAGCTCTATTCTGAAATGTAAGGCAGCAGCAAGAGCAGGGTTGGACACCAAGGAAGATGTGGGATTAGTCTGGTGTTGACCCCTCTACAACCTGGATCATCACGTATGCACTGGCATAGGAAGACCTGAGCTCAGGCCTCACAGTTACTGCATCCACCCTTATTAGATCAGATGTGAAGACATCTTAGAGGGGGCGCTTGGCATCTGGCGTAGCTGCTGGCAGCCTTCAACCTGCCCAGCTTGCATATGCAAGTGCCCTTGAGCACGGTCTCCACTGGCAAGGATGTGAAGGCATCTCCAGCCTTCTTCAGAAACCAGGCAATGGATTCTGTCTCAGCAGATTTCTGTGCATCAGCAGGATGGACCTGGTCTTTCCTGACAGTGGGGCATCTTTCCAAAGAGGAGCTGTCCTTCATTTTCCCCTAATCCCTTGGCTTAGGGTGCTGGGCTCACCTCATTCCCATAAGAACTGGTAGGTTGGAAGGACTCACCAGTTTTCCTACACTGGGGACACAAGGGAAAGGCCACGCTGACCTCTGCCAGCAGCTTCTGGCAGAACATGTCTCTTCATTGTAAGCAAGAAGGGCAAGACAAAGGTGAGTACTTGAGCAAGAGTTGTCCTGCCAGGGCTCTCCACATGGTCCTGCCCCATGAGCCTCTCACACAGGGATGGTTAGACACACGTGTCCAGGTTGGAATGGTGTCATGGGCCAAGGAGATGGCAACCAGCACCTGTTCTCCTGGCCTTGGTGTCAGCCTCTCCTT